ACTGACTGACCTTCATTTCTTAAAGTAATGATGGCCACTCGTTTTTCTTTAGTTAGCTGATTGGTTCTTGCCATAATATGAATTTTAACAGTTGTCCAATAGGGCTGTCGGCTGTGTATTAACCTGACTTCTGCACAACACAACTGATGGTCCCAACCCCATTGATAAAGCAAGAAATTCCACTAATTAACCCTGATAAGGCACACCTGTGAAGTGGAAACCATTTCAGGTGACTACCTCTTGAAGCTCATGGAGAGAATGCCAAGAGTGTGCAAAGCAGTAATCAGAGCAAAGGGTGGCTATTTTGAAGAAACTAGAATATAAAACATGTTTTCAGTTATTTCACCTTTTTTTGTTAAGTACATAACTCCATATGTGTTCATTCATAGTTTTGATGCCTTCAGTGAGAATCTACAATGTAAATAGTCATGAAAATAAAGAAAACGCATTGAATGAGAAGGTGTGTCCAAACTTTTGGCCTGTACTGTACATTCCAAGATAATAGTATAATGATGCACTTGAGGCAGTGTGACTTACTGCAGCAGGGATAGAAATCTAAAGGCCAGTGCATTTAACACATATAATAATGTTTATGTAGATATACAACAATGAAACATGTGTTGAGTGTTACTATTAATATAAAAATGACTTGAAGGTGACAATGATGTTGATTTAAAAGTAGCTGACAGTTCACTAGTGATAATAAATCAATTTTTGTTTTTTAAAAGGTGAAGCCAAACAGACTATCCACTCACCTTTCAGCGCCTCCTCGTGCCTGACCTCCTCTGCCGTCCGCCCCTCCTGCTCCCCGGTTACAGGGATACAAAGCTCGGTCGCGCGCGGGAACCGGGTACAGTTGAACATCTCCGGCCAGGGGAACCCGAACGCGCTCATGACGGGCACGCACCCGTCCCGCACGGCCTCGCACAGGCTCCTGCAGGGGCTCACCGGCCCGATGAGTTCCGGCAGACACACCGGAGCGAACAGCGAGCACAGAAACTTCTTGGTGTCCCGGTGGCACAGTTTGGAGATGAGGGGCAGCCAGGCCGCCGATTGCTGCTGGGCCTCCTTCAGCGTGTCATGGCCGAGCAAGTTGGGGATCCGCATGTTCCTGTAGCCGATCCCGTGGCACAGAGACAAGGTGCTCGGGATGGGTTTACACACCGAGCGGACCGAGGAGCTGAACACAAGCGACGGCGGCCCGAGCTGGGCTGGAGCAGCGGTGTCAGACGCATGGGAAAGCCCAAACAGCAGAATAAAGCTGAGCATAGAGACACACATTGTTGTTTCAGTAAGAACAGAGTGACTGACTGTCTGCAAAGCTTCTGCCTCTCTGTCTGGACTTGACCGGCATGTAGGTGTAAACAAAGAGGTGTGGAGGAAACGGGGGGTTAATGAGAGGGCAGGCGCCTCCCAGTCATCATCCCTCCCCATCAGACTGGTGCCTGCCTCACTGCATACTGTTTCTGTTTCTTTAGTTTGGCATTCATGCTGTAAACAGCACACTTTGTGGCAGACACAGAACAAACAAAGTAAGGATGCTGTTCCTTGTATGCCCACATAAGTTACTGTGTAAAGACAGACTAGACAGAAATATTCGTATGACACATACTTTCAAATACATACTGAAGTTGCACATTTGTTCTTATGATGTTGGTCAAATATTTAGAAAATTAACATTTTTATTGGACCCATATTTAACCAGGTGAGTCTCATTGAGATCAACGATCTCTTTTACAAGGGAGACCTGGCCAAGACAGCAGCATACAATAATTAACAGCCAAACAACCACACAATTTAAAACACAGAAGATGCACAGTAATGTAAAATATCCTCCTGAGACCCAGACTTTTGTTTGGTATGCATTTTTAATTTCCTCTAGCTACGTGGGATCAATTTGACCGGATAAGTATAAAAAACAAAACATTGTCAATGATAATTAAGTCCCAATGTCTTCAAACAAGTACTTCTTAATTAACCGAGTCTTAAGGCCCAAACATACTAGGGCGGAACGTACGCGGAACAGACTCCGCGAGGAATGTCCGCAGTCATTCGGGCTTCCATAGTCGAGCGCACTTCCGCATCGTAGTTTCCAGTAAAAATGTCTGTGAAAAATCCCTGTGATGTGAAAAATACATGCCGAGCAGTCACTGGTGCGCGGAGCGGAGTCCGTGCGGTCGTAAAATCTGAGCTTTGTGCGCACAGGGTTTGCGGACGTCCGCTTTGAGTCTGCGCGGACCTCCGCGGAGTCCGTTCCACGTACGTTCCGCCCGAGTATGTTCGGGCCTTTAGCTTGTTACTATTGGTCAAATCTGTTGCCATATCAAACTACAAACATTCTCAATCATAAGTAAACAAGTTTCAACCATAAAATGTGATCAGGTTTTGGACCTTGTTGACTTTCGTGTCAGGATCGGCTGCAGACTGACTAGGCAGAGATGGCTGCCATCTTGTTTGTACATGGATTAGTGTATTGTGCTCATACTGCCACTAGATGGCACAAAAAAGTGTCCACGAATGAGGACAACAGGTCTAAGTTAAGAAGAATGAAGTATAAGGTGCAGGAAACCAAAATGTGATGTCCTCATATGAGGACACAGGGTCTCAGGAGGATATTAGAACACTTACACACAATGACAAGACCTAACGGATTCATTCATCCTTGTACTTATAAGAGTTTAAAGTCAGGCAGAGAGACCAAATCATGTAGTTTCAATTTTTTTTGAAGGTTATTCAAAGTGAGAGGAGCAGAGCACATAAAAGCTTTCTTTCCCAGCTCGGTCCGTGCACTAGGAACAAAAAACAAAACTAAGTCCTGAAATCTCAGACTGTAGAGTCAGACGTCTGTTCAATCAAAGTACAAATGCATGACGGGAGTTTACCCAGTATGGCTTTTTAAATGAACAAATACCAGTGATGGAGTCTACGAAAAGTCAAAGAAGGCCAACCAGTCCTGGAATAAAGTGTACAGTGATGAGTGAGGGCTTTTGTAACAAATCTCAGTGCACTATGATGTGCAGTAACTAACATGTGCAAACAGACACATTCACGTGCAACAAATCACCATAATCCAGAACCAGTAACAACGTAGCAGCAACCAGTCTATTGTAGCGTAAGAACAGAAAGCTGATTTGGTGTATGAAGACTTTCGAAAAACATTAACTGTCAGTATTGTGAAATAAAATGTAACTGTTTTGTGTTAGCGAATTACTGTGTGAGGCACTCTGTCATCGTACTCAGCCACAGGGTGTCAAAAACCCTTTCATCTCTCTCCAGGGAGACGGCCATATGTGCACCAACGTGCCTCGTCCTGTTCCCCTCTGCTGCTGCTATTTGATTTAGCTCAGTAACAGTAGTGGTGGTATTATGAGTATAGACAGATCAAACTCACTAAATTTGCAATCCTCTGTTATAGGAAAAGGAGAGAAAAGCAGTGCCCAGCTTGTGGAATTAAAACTCAAGTATAGTGCAGTGCAATCAAACAGCATAGCACACCAAGAATGGCTCATCGGCAGAGTTATTAAAGTATTTGGAGGTCAAACAGTCACTATTATGACGGGCCCGTGTGCCAGATTTTGAGTCAAAACAGCTACCACGCATTTCATGGTATTGTCACATCAAATACAGACTTGACGTTGGACAGCATCAACATACATCCTCACACTACAAATCTGGGTATGACAAAAATACCATATAAAATAAGGAATTATTCCTTAAATTGATTTTAAAATAGTTTATTTATAGCTTATATAGTTCATGTAAAATGAACATATAATTTTGTTAAAGATTTCTACTGACTATTTCACAGAAGAAAACAAAAACATACATTGACAGAAATGGGTTTGCCTTCTCAAGGGCACATATAGCAAATGACAGCATTTGTATTTTAAGGTGAGGTCCTCTTTGAAGCACAAGTTGGGCAAGTTGAATCACTTGCAAGGGCCCGTTTTTTGCTCTGGAGAGCGCGGACCCTCCAACCACTCTCTTCACTGCCTGCACTGTTTATATCTACGCTCCTGAACCAGACTGAGTATGTTCCATGAAGGTCTGTATCCTGTCACATCTACATTTCTGTTAAATACAGCACACAAAGCCAATTACACATGGCAGTGTCATTACGTGCCAAGAACTAGAGCCCTACATGTACTCCTATGCTGAAATCACAATCATTAAGTTTGCTGATGACACCACCGTGGTTGGCCTCATAACTGGAAGAGATGAGTCTGCATGCAGTGATGAGGTGCAGAGGCTGTTGGTGTGGTGCCCCAGGAACAACCTTTCACTCAACACCCATAAAACAAAGGAGACGATCATTAATCAGTTCTTGGGGACCGACATCTCGGAGGACCTGTCCTGGTCAGCAAACACTCTGACAGTGGTCAAAAAGTCCCAGCAGTGATTGCACTTCTTGAGACTGCTCTGTAAGGTGGCCCTGAAGAAGAAACTGCTGATGGCTTTCTATTGATCTACCATCAATAGTGTCTTGGCATACCATATTACAGTGTGGTATGCCAGCTGCATGGCACCAGACAGGGAGGCGCTGCGGAGGGTGATCTCCACAGCAGAGAAAATCATTGGCTGCTGTCTGCCCTCCCTGGAGGACATCTCCCGCTTCCACATAAAGGGCCCCTTCCACCCTGGTCACTCACTGTTCACCTTACTACCGTCCGGCAGGCGGTACAGGAGCATTAAAAGCAAAACCAACAGACTTACAGTTTCTTTTCCTGGACCATCAGAGCTTTAAACTCCCATGCCTTATAAACTGCCCTAATTTTCATTTCCAGCCTGGGTGACATTAAAAACATTAAGAGCAATAAAAACATCTGCCTCTTATTATTGATTATTTACTTATACTTATTTATTGGTGATGTGATGATGGTATTTTCTGGGTTGTCACTTGTCCCTTTTAACTTGCACTATGTACAGATGAAGATTTTAAATTGCATTGTACTGGTACAGTGACAATAAAGGACTTCTATGCTATTCTGTTATGTTCTTAATAACGTTTTGGTCAGTTTGTGGTTGTGCAATTAAACATAATTCAATGTACAAATAGCCTAGGCACTGCAGGAGCACAAAATAAACTGCTTTTAATGGGCCCCTGTCTCACATGACCAAAACTATTAAACTGTGTGACTTTGAATATTTTTTTAAAAAAATTTAATGCATTATTTTGTTTTATTTAGTCATTTTTATGTTTGTTCCACTGCTACTCATAATTTGAAAATCCCCCTCGTCACGTGACGGAGGCCACAGCTGCCTCTCATATACCGGAAGTGGCCGTTGTGTTGTTGCACCAGAGCTGCTGTCATGTGATAGCTCGTCCGAGGAGCTGCTGTTGACAGTAGCTTCCTACCTTCAGATGAAGCTAAAGTAAATCCGAGCTGGGGAAAAGTTTTATGTGTGCTGGAGAACATAAACACGGCTCGTTTCTGACGGAGAACAGGGAAGCCGGGGTTGTGTAGCTTCGCCCCTCGGACGCTGACATGGGTTGCTGTTACAGCAGCGAGAACGAGACCACAGAGCAGGTAGTTAGCTGCTAGCCGGCTAAAATTGTCCCGATAAAGATGGTATTTTTTTTATCGAGAAACAAAATACTTAATGGGTTTTTTGTGTATCGGTGATGTTACATATATAAAATGCATTTGATTGCTGTGCGACGAGGCTCTTAAATGGTCCTGTTTTAGTAGTAAAAGTGAAATGACACCTGAAAAGCAACTTTAGCTCGCTAGTAAAAGCCTTCGGGAAAGGCCTGACTCAAGGCAGGCTGTGAAGTTAGCATGTAGAAGAAAAACGATCATGGATAAGAAAATATTTACAGATCTGAAGGCAAAGAAACGTAGAAGAAAACCGTATATATGCCAACATATTTACACTCACTGCTAAGATTAGCATTAGACATTAAGGTTTAGCTTGTTAACGCTATTTCCTGATACCAATTTGTGCTAAAGCAATCTGTAAATACATCAATTCACCTTAACTTTATAAGTAAATTCCTTAATATTACATCCAACATAAACAGCTCCACCAGTCACACAAGTGATTGTTGTTCTGAATGCCATGGTCCTGATGTGTTTTATGTCATATGACCCCAGCTATTTTTAGTTTACGGAAACAAGTCACTTCTGCCTTCATGCAGCATATCTTCCTTCTGATGTGGTTAATCTTATCTTTATAGTAGTCCAATGAGAAGTATAGGAAGTCATATCTAACCTCTCTGTTTGTGTCACATTCAAGTAATGTTTATTAGTCTGAAAATGTAACTTGTGTATTGTTTGTAAGAAAGCAGAGCACATAAGCCAGATCAAGTTAGTCCAGTTTGTTCAAATCAGTAGGAACTTGTTTGTTTATGCTTCCCTTAAGGTTTTCCTGTGAGTGTAAGAGTGGCAAACGTGGTGTAGTGATATGTTTTACGTCATGTGTTGTTGACAAATGCATTGCTATGGTTGTTGAGCTGGTACCTCAAGCTTTTGTTGCTACATCTAATTGTTACTTTCCTTACATATGTACTAGAAAAACCACCTTTAATGGGTCACAAAGTACTGGATTTTTACATCTCATAGACTCGCTCATGTTGTTGTCATGCCAAATGTTATGCAGAATAAAACAGATAGTAGGTGAGGCACATTCTTTTGCCTTTTTTCTACTGCACTGAATTGCAACACTGACGGTTTCTTGAAAAGTCACGGGCTAAGAACTTCATCAGCATTTGTTCATAAACTTATCGGCCTGTTCTAGGACCCTGATGAACGTAAACCGCTGATCCCCCACCCAAACCCTGTCAGCAAACCTCCAAATGGGACCGACTGGATCACTACCAGTGTCCCCTCAGCGCGGACAGATGAACAGGCTCTCCTGTCATCCATCCTCACCAAGACAGCACAGTAAGACGCTTCCTCATGCAACCGTAGACGAGTCAGATTCAACACTTGTTTCATGGTAACAAGGCAGTTATTTGTGTGCTCCCTTCATAAACCTTACATTATTTCCACTCTGTCAGGAACATCATTGATGTCTCAGCAGCTGACTCTGTCATGATGGAGCAGCATGAATACATGGACAAAGCTCGGCAATACAGGTATGTGGGTGAGCAGTGGCTGTTGCTGTTCTGCAGTCTGTTTTGTTTTCTGTATCTGGGTATGGCGTGGGGTGTGGGTCTATATTGGCCTTATCTTAAGAAGGTTATCATTAACCTGCTGAATCACACATATAGATAGCCCATAAGCCATAAAGATAGCATGTGTGTTTCAGTTGGTAGAGCCATAATGATAAAGTTCTTAGTTAATAAAATGTTGAGCTTAACTTTGTGCTGTTTATACTGTATGTACATGTGGTTTCTAGAGCTTAAAGTGAGTTAGATTTAATTTTTTAAAGACTTTTTAATGCCTCTTGGAATCAAATTTAAACCAATTTTACGTTTTCTTGGCAATGTTGTCTTTCTCAGTCTGCATGTTCCACCACCATCATGCCGAGTTAGTTCAAGTGTTTGCATAAAATACGCAGAGTCTTGTATGTGTTGCCTTGTACTGGTCTCAGCCAGGCCGCAAATTCTTGGTCAAATAGCCACCTTTTGTTGAATCCATACTTCCCCATCAATGTCCAGCGTACAGAGACAGCTTGCTAGCAGACAGTGGATCCTCTGCTCTGATCATTGTGCCAGGAAACAAAATATGAGTGTTGTTGGTTCCGATATCCTCATGTGAGTGATATTAATGTGAGAGGCATTCAGTAAATTAGATTTAAAAAAAGCCATTAGCCATTACCCATTATTATGACATTTTACAATGCAGCATTAGAGAAAAAGATTCATAGAATCACACTGCCCATGTCTAAGCATAGCCATGTCATTTGATTTTAGACATTTTAATACCACTTAAGGCCTTACTTCTCAACGAATGAATTTAGTGCCTTTCAAGACTTTCTGCAGGAACCCTGGTACACTGAATGGAGCTTTATGGTGTTGCTTTATCTGGTTGTATCTCACTAATTTATAGCTTGTGGGAAAGAGATGTTCAGAGACTTAAAGACTATTAAAAAGTGAGCCAGCTGCATATCCAAAGACATGTACTTATTGGTGGGGACACCTGTGATTGCTTAGATGAATGTGGGAAGAATGGAACGTAAACAGTGTTTAAAAATGCCAACACCAACCCGACAAGTGGAGAAGTCGGGAGGGGGAAGTGATTCAACAAAAAAGAATTGCAACAGCGCAGGCCTTTTCCCTCAGACCTAAACCTCAGTTACAATGATACCTCATGGCTGGATTTCTACCAAACACATTGACTTTGTTTAGGCTAAAATACAGGTGCTGATTAAACTGCAGGTTCTCAGGACATAACAATTGGGTGAAAGAGTCAAGGTGACAAACTGTGTTATCAACTTCAATTCTAAACTGCAGCTTAAGTAATAATAGGGTAACAAAGCCACTAAGCTTGTGTTTTTTTTGTTTGTTTTCAGTACAAAGCTGGCTGTATTGAGCAACAGTCTGCCCCAGAAGAAACCCCTCGCTCTCCCCTCCCTCACCAGCCAGCCCCACCAAGTGCTTGCGAGTGACCTGGTGCCATACTCAGATGTTCAGCAGGTAATCATACACTAGCAAACATGGTAGATATGTCGGCATGCGTTTCCAGCACCCACATTGCCTCTTGTCATACGTTGTTTCCTCGCTGGCTACATTTAACATCAGAGAGATACTTGGAGACAGTATCCAGCATGTGTAGCTGTGTGGTATTTCAGTGGGGTGAGCAGGGGACGAGTAAATGCTTGGCTAAAAATAGACCTTAAAGATAGATCATGCTTTACTGTTGTTACTGTTTTTGTCCACCTAATAAAAGACATTCTGTTGGTCACACACAGCAAACTAGTATTGTTTCACTTAGTATAAATTACACACTCCACATAAACTCTGTCTTTCTCTGCAGGTGTCCAAGATAGCAGCTTACGCTTACAGTGCAATCTCTCAAATCAAAGTGGATGCTAAAGAAGAACTGGTGGTCCAGTTTGCCATCCCCTGATTCTGCGACCCCGGCCCGCATATTGTTCCTCCCATCCCACTCTCTCTGTGTCACTTCTGCATCCTCACCCTCCAGCCTACCCTTTATTAAAGCATCTTGGTCCTTGTGCTTCTTAGCTATGCCTCTAACTGCTATAAAGACAGAGACAATGAAGGATTGCACCCTATGGCTGTCCTTTAAATGTACTTAATTATGGGTCAGTGACAAATTGTCAGCATGGGCAGATGGAAGATGGTCTGCTGTAGATGGGCCATGGGGTGTGCTCTCTCATTTACAGCAACAAAGTCTCTTCTGTACGCAATGTGTGGATCACGGACTTTGTCAGAACCAGCTGTGGAGAAACCATCATTCATCTTTTTTGGTAAATGCTCCAATTATTTTAAAACAGTTTCAGGGTCATCTCAGTATCTTTAGTTAGTTTGTTTCCCCCAGCCTGTTTATTCAGGCGAGCACCCCACACTCCAGACTGTTATCTAAAGGCATGGTAAAATGTTCAGTGTATTCACCTGGGAGAAACAGGAGAAATGAGGAATATCTGTGGCATGGAAAGATTAAAATTATCACAGTACCATAGCTGCAAGTGCAGTGGTTGAGTGTTTTAGCCATTTACTAGGATAAAAACTTGCAACATGGCATAATGTTTGCACTTGATGTCTTTTATGGTGTTCTTTTGTCCTGGGGGAAAACATGTAGAAAATGGAGCCAGAAGAATGTGTTGTTTTCTCTTAAGGTTAAGATGTCATTATAATTTAGAGGATGAGATTTGGGTATCAAGCATCCCACAGTAATCTGGTGTCACACTGCAGCAAGAAACGTGTCCCATTATGACCTAAACATGAATTGGTAAACCAACCTGATTGAGTAAATTTCATCGACATTTCATTGTAAATTGTTTAAAAAAATCGACAGTGAAACAGGCTTGGTTGTTTTTTTGTTATTCTGGTTGAGGCTAAATCATGAGTGACCCATCCACAGCTGGTGTCCTCTGGTGGGTGAGGATGCAACACAAGCAAGGGGGTGCTGGGTGGGCCTACTAATGTCACAGGAGAGGGGGAAGATGGAGCTTTCTTGGGGCAAAAGCTCTTAAGTTTACAGACAGTAATGTGTCCTCAGCAGTTTTCTAGCACTAAAACAATGAGCTGGCAGACTCTTCGAATCCAATCCCAGAATTTCGCATATTAAATAGCAGTGGAGGTATACAGAGATGAAGGGGGTGGGTGTGTGGAGGGTGCAGGGACAGATGTGTATTCATGCCGCCTTTGTACAGAATTTTCTGATTGATGATAAAAACAGATGATGGATTGTATGAAGTTCCTCTTTTTGTAGAGAGTTCATTGGTCAGGATTGGCTGAAGATCTTGTGGTGATTAACAAATGTTTTTATGAAAAAAAAAACACAAGAACACTTTTAAGGCCTGAGTTTGTTAGCTTTTAAACAAAGCTTTTCGCTGCGGATTGTAATATGATTGAGTTGTTGATATTAATCAGAAACTAACCATTGTAGCAGTGTGGGACAGCGCTAACAATCTATGTACCACAGCAGATAAAAATGATCCAAGACCTTTTTGTGATTATTTATTTGTGTTTTTAAATGTTTATTTGCTCTTCGGAGGAGAGCACATGACTGTACGCGTGTGCAGGGAGCATGGTGAGCCGCTCTGGAGTCTCTAAAGGGATGATCTGCAAGGCTGTGATTACTTCAACCACGCAACTGATTTTGAGCTTTTTGCAATGGGTTCTTGGCATTTTTTTTTTCCTGTTTTGTTTGTTACTCAAATGTGTTATACTACCTGAAATATGTTTGTTATATCTTAGGCTAGTACCAAAAAGTTTTAAGATTTTGGTTGTTGTCTTTTATGTTTTTTTTTTTTTTTTGGGTTAATTCATTCATTAAAGATTTTCAACATAAACACTCAATAAGTCTTATTAAATAAATCTTAACATCCACATGCTCTTATCTGGGAAGTAGTTAATTCACTAACATTAGTAAAATGGGACATCAGTTTCTTATTACAGGTATTCCAAAACAGTATTTAAATACACGGCAACCCACACCAATGTTCGCAACAATACAGAAACCCTTTGTGGCCTCGTAAATAATAAACTGTTCATTTCAGCGGAAAAAATGGAAAAAAACAAACATTAAAAACTGCTGAATTCAAACATAGAATCTTTTTAATATTTTAGATGTTTACCAGGAGTGGATGTAGAGCACAGAACATTTGGGTGAAAGTATGACTTCGACACACGCTGATGGAGACGAGTCAGCAGTCACTGGAGAGTCTCCTTGCAGCTTCTGCGGTTGTTGCTGCTTTGCCAAATCTTTGCCATGACTCGCTCCTGGCGTGTCACAGCACTGAAGTCCATCGTCTTTAGCCAAGGCAGGGCAGAAATCACACGATTCCTAAATATACAGAAACATATGTTCAAGCATGTACATGAAATAGTTAGGTATATTTTGTATTTGAAAATGTATGTGGATGTTTAAAGTATATCATATCTCCAATTTTCTGGTGCTACACATATGCAATAATTTAAGATACAATTTAATCAAAAAGCGTCACTGATTGAAGCAAAACCAGATCACTGGAATAGGCTTTTAACCAGCAGCCCCTCTGTGTGTGTGTGTGTGTTTGTAACCAGCGTTGCTACACAGACTGGGATATGTACTGTAACATGAGCTTGATCTGCATTTCAGCACCTGTTACAAAGTTATGCACCTCCATGCTCGCCAAGCATTCATGTCTCTCACACACACACACACACACACACACACACACTCACTCACAATGTAATTGCACTCTTGTAGCCTAACAGTAAACCCTCACTCTGCACCTCTGACGTGCATAACAGTATGAAGTGCTGACTTTGTATGTGGTTCTGTTCTGTACTCAGCAAACCACCAGCAGTTGTGGATTATGGCTGGGTGCTTATGGTTGCGATGCATATTCAAATTAATTTTTTATAAAGAACCACACAAAAGTGGCAGAGACATGAAAGTACCACACATCTAAATGTTTTACAGCAAAGGAAGGATGTGTGTGTGTGTGATTGTGTTTGGGGTATATTTGAAAGAAAGTCTCCACCTGTAGGCCTTGTTGGTTTCTATGACATTTCCATGTAGAGTGACGGTGTGTAGATGTGGTAGCACGCCCAGCCTGTCCACCTCTGACAGAATAAAAATGTTGTTGCCGTGCAGATATAACACACGCAGTTCATGTAGCTCGCACAAAACCTGTGACAAAAGCACACACGTGCACATATTGTGGGTGCACTGTAAGAGAAAGCCACTGTGCAAGCAAACGTGAACGTGCAATGAACAGAGGAAGCTTACTTGATCTATGTGTGAGATTTTGTTGAAGGAAAGGTCCAGCCAGGCGAGCTGCGATGGCTCAGCCAGGAAGTGGTTAACAGTCTTATGGAGGTCATGAATGTGAGTGATGTTGTTGTTATTGAGACGCAGGGAGCAGCTTAGGTACTTCATCTGTGAGTTTCTTTTTAAAGGCCGCAGAACGGTGCTGGGTTCCTCTGTCCGTGCGTCTGAGATCACAAATAAAATAAGTACTAATTTGTGTAACATTTGGTCGAATTGTTTCAACGGCATCTAAATCTATGGATCAGTTTCTGAAACACCATACATTGCAGTCGTTAAGTGTGCAACCACAGAGAAGAATAACACTGCCTGTAAAGTAGAATTTATCACAAACTATATACAAACATATACTGACAATTTCTCTATGAGGTGTACTACTCCTATTTTTTATTTAAGTATAGTGCAGTACACTGTAATGTGCAGCCATTAGGCAAAGATGCAGTCAGTCCCTAATAGAGATGTAATAATATTGTAATGATAATACTGAAAATAAAACATGAGTGTATAGTACCATAAGGAGAGGCTGAAAAAAACTTAGAGGAATATAATAGTGTACTACCTGCCAAACTGCTGATTTGTTTGAAAGATAAATCCACCGGAGCGCCATACATATTCACACCTGTAATAGAGTCCCTCACCTGTGGGAGGACAGTGACGTCACGGTGAGTAAACTGACCCAGTGATCATCAAACGCCATTAATGTAATAAAACTGTTTTTTTTAAACACTTGGTTATAATTTTTTTTTTCATTATATATCGTAGTTTTGCAAACTCACTTTGTAGCTATCCTGTCTCAGTGTGTTATACAGCGGCTAGAAACTGAAAAATAAATCGATAGTGTAGATCAAAACAAGCACAAAATGCTAATATCGTTTTTTTAGCTGGTGACCTATCACAAATTAAATAATATACTTACCAATTAACTGAGGGAAAGTATAAAAGCAACACGCTATTTAGCTTAAGTTATTTAGAAAGCTGTATTTCGCCGTAGTTAAGCACCTATTAAAGAGACAACAACATGTTTCCAAGGAAACGAACAGGTACATTATGGGACTTGTAGTAAGAGTTTACATATGATCTAATATGGATTACAGTGAAATCATCTTGCCCATTGACTTCCAGAAATCTTTGGCGTGTAAAATTCATTGCCGTGATAAACACACGGTGACAATTATTAGCTTATTAGTTAAAAACTGTTTAACGACTGTGCGTGTAGGATGCGGCAGGATGTTTATCTTGCTTGCATGAAACAGCTTGAATTGTGTTCCGGTGCACACCGGAATTCATCCTGGTTGGCGGAGTCAGTAGTCAGCACTAATGTTAAAGCATATTTCACTCGCTGTAATCCGAATGTTTGACGTGTAAAATAAAATAAAACAAAAAACATGTCAAGGTTATGTTTAACAATATGAATGCTGGTTGCATTTTAAACTTTATACGTCCCCACCTCCCCCAAAATCGAGCACGCCGATGTCATAAAACGAGCGCGTCGTTCAGTCGACTTCCGGCTTTTCAACCAATCAACTACAACTATTTTCACACGCGTCGATATGTGAAGACTGATTGGCTGGTTCAATCTTCAGCCACCCGTTTTGAATTTTATCTAGCTGTAGAGGCAGCAGTTGTTCGTAGCAGTAGAAGCATTGCATGTTTTTACAGGAGGAGCTAGACGGATAAACACTACAAAAAAGAGGCATAAGCCCTTTAAAGGTGAGTTACTGCCTGAAAGCAACAATTTATTACCGTCGGTCTTTAAGAATTATCTAAAACTTTCTAAATTTAGCTTTAATGTTACCTTAAGTTAACCAACGTTTGGTTTGAACTATCTTACTGTTAGCTTGTTGACAGTAAGTTAGCATTCTGCAACAATAATTCAGGAAGTCTTATCGTTAACTTTAACAAACATTACTTAATTATCGTTAGCTTAGCAGCTCGTGTATGAAATCAGCGTTAATAAACAGTGCTAAGTTAATGCGTGCTCATGTGTTAGCTTGATGAAGCTAACGTTAGCTGATACGTTTGTTTATGCTGTCTTTTTCGCTTATAGGTTGAAATCCCTTGAAAACAAAGGGTCAGCCAAGATGGCGATTAACTGGGGAGTTAAGGCTCTTCTCGGCTGGGTAAGTTGATAGTAACATTGGTTACAGTGCAAATGTGTTGACTCCAGGAAGGCTTATTAACCAGAGAGATAAAGTTTTATTTCACCAACTTGTAAACTATCTTTTTGCAGGTCAACACCTTAAAGCTGTCTGATCGAGAGATATCTATTGAGGATTTACAAGATGGGACAGTCTTGCTTAAAGTTGTTAATATGCTGTAAGTAGGAGCAATGTGTTGAAATGCCTTGTCTGTGTAAACAATAGAAGGTCAGTGATTGCTGATTACATTTGTAGGATCTCAGTGTTGTAGAGATGCTGATTAATTGGAGTAAACCTGTTTTACTCTTATTTTTTCACCTTTGTGTTATCTTAGGAAAAAGGAGCCCAAGTATCGTTTCAGTAATTCCACTGAGGAACGATTCAAGGTCATTGCAGACTTTTTGGAAAGTGAGTTTGTCTACCCATCTTACATACCTTCACATTTATCTTTAGTGTGATTTTAGTCTTTGCTATATTTACTAATAATGTATCACTCCCTTACAGCATATTGCTGGACCTTTTCCTTCCCTCTGCTTCCACTTTGTGTGCTAAGAAATGCTTACCATGTCTCACACCTACCACTGTGATGACTGGATGATATTGATTTTGTCATCTGACTCTACAGTATAGAGTCAGATCATCTTGTTGAAAGTTTTAAATCTGTTGCACCTTTGACCACACCCAGCAATGGGTTGGGTGTGGTCTCAAGTGTGCCCTGTTGCACTTGTAAACATGCCAGACAGGGAAGTCAAGATGTAAAGAACACACCCTGACTACCACTATCTTTTTTTATGTATCAGACTGACAGATATTGGATATTGTTGTCCTTTGAGAATTAACTTATCTCTGTTTTATTTTTTTTAACAGGGGATTGCAGATTTAGTGCAGCCAAGGGCACTTCATTATCATGGGCCAGCATTAGAGATGGCTTCAACCTAACAGTAGAAATTGCAAAGGTACAAGATGAAGAAAAAGAAATAAAACTAAAGACATAAACATAAACGAAGGTCCATTCTGACTCATCTTTCTGGTACCACCAGGTGCTTTTGTTGCTCGTTTACCATGACATAATGAATGACCGCTGCACTCTGAACGAGTTGGACTGTGATGTGGAGGTGAGTTGAAAGTTTGTTTTTTCTGATTTCCTACAAAGTATTATGTGTCCGCCACTTAAATACATCACATTTCATACATCATTTGTGGTGCTGTGCTACCATTTAACTCTTCCAATTTATTTGCATCCTCACTTTTATCTGTTAGCAAGAGATAGCACACCTAACTGGTTCCTTTGTGATGGAGAGCGATGGCTGCGTTTATCTGAGCGATGGACTTGATGCCTATTTGGCAAGGAAACGTAAGTAACAAATTTCTTACATTATCCATTTCTTTATTAAAATGACATGCTAGGAGACAAACACGCTCTAATACTTATCGAAATGTATTTCTCCATGAATTTCAGGTTTGCCTGTCCGCTGTGAAATTTTTCGATCAGCAACCACCTCTACCTCCAATGCGTCGACTATCTCCTCGTTCTCAGATGACGAGTCCCCCGTCTTCCATCGCAAAAAGAAAATCACATTTGTGGAGATGCAAACTGTGGCTTCTTCCTCAGTCAGGTACCCACGTGGATTCAAATTTATCCAACACAGTGCTTATCATAGGCATCAAATGTAAATAAAGCAATTTTATGGCCAACATTAATCAAAGATTTGGTTTGGCTATTAATCTGTTGAACCTCTTCACTAGACATTTTCCATCTTAATTAGATGCTTGTCTCCATTGAAAGACCTTTAGCCTGAGAGAATAACAAGTGAGATGAGTTTTGTTTGTATTCTGTAGTTGGGTTTTATGTACCTATTAAAGCAGTTTAATATACCATGCTTTGCTAAACCTGCTGTGACTGAGATACTTGTTTTCACACCATAACAAAATGGTTAACTTCATAGGGTTGCATATCACTATACATTAAAACACTTCCGATCCATTTATGTCATGATTTTGCAATTCTTTAGCTTGTCCCATGTGCTTTTATTCCCACAGCAAGTCTCCTCTGCAGGATATCATGAACACACCTAAATTTCAGTTGAGGAAAGTGCAGCGACAGATGATCAAGGAGAGAGACTACAGAGATGGGTTGGAGAGGGAGCTGGCCAGCAAGCTTGCACTTATTGCAGAGAGAGGTACTGCATTTGTGTGGTTGTGTTTGAATGAAAACATTGTTGGTTAGGCTGGTAAGAGAAATAGGTCAAACTCTTGTGAGTGATGTTTAACAAACTTGGACTGTTCTGTCAAAGACCTACTGAAAATGTGCATGTCCATTCCTTCACACATCACACTGACTTCAAAATGTCAAATCCTTTTCTTTAGAGTCCCATATTAACCAGCTGCAGTACCGCCTGGATAAGATGAAAGAAGAGCAAAGTGATCAGGATCAGGTTATCAGGGAACAAATCAATGAGCTTGAGACCAAGAACGACATGTAAGTACCTAAGGATATGCCTATTTATCAGTGCATGACAGAGCTAATGATAAGTGAATAACTTGTAAATCAAAGGTGTGTGTTCAACTTGAGTTTGAGATAATGTTTACTTCTATAGGCTGCGACACCTCCTCTACTTGTTTTATTCACACACGGCCCATGTTCATTTTGAATTAAAACAGAACAGACTGAGCTTGTAGCCTATAAGATACAAAATGTTATTGTTTGTAAACACAACATTCAAACTTGGCCCCTCCTCCTTGGCTCAAGGAGACGTTAGTAGAGCGAGCTACAAAGTGAATGAGGAGAGGTAACGGCGTTAATGAGATCAAAGCAGTGAATCAGAGGAACAAAAACATTATTTTGTGACTGTTTTACTGTGGTACATTCTAAAGCACGAATAAACACACCCTCACCTCCGCACAACCCTGCTAAAAGTTGCTGCATCACAGGATTTTGTGTGAATTCAGCTGAAGTGCATGCTTGTGTGTGTGTGTGTGTGTGTGTGTGGCCCAACCCCACCCCTGATCAATCAGGCACACAGACCTGCAGCCGCATTCATACAGGAAAGAGAAAGCTGGTTGCTATGCTTATATAAAACCTCACGCTGCTATTGGCTGGGGACTACACACCACTACTCAAAGGCTGACACTCAGAAACGTCCTGAACAAACCAAAATAAGACGTAAATAGGAAAATACAGGCAGAGGGCAGGTTCTCTGCACATAGACACCACTGCTAGTCGGTCATAAATGATGATTGAGACTGATTATATTTGTGTGAATCTACATATTGTGTTTTTTTTTTTTGTTTGTTTTTTTTTTTTTTTTTTTTAAATCCTGCAAGTATGCCTTAAGAATGTGCCATGAAATGGATTTAAAGAAACTGTTTTGCTAACTGTTCTGTTTTTCTTCTTGTCTCAGGTTGCAAACACGTCTTAATGAGATGTTAAAGCAGAATAAAGACCTCAAGAGTAACTCCTCACTTATGGAGCGCAAAGTGGATGAGCTGTCAGATGAAAACGGTGTGCTCGCGTCGCAGGTAATGACACACAGCAAAGGTTTCTTGCTGTTAAATGCTGCTAATCTCCTAAGTGAAAAGACAGTCATGTGCAATGTGTATGTCCTTCAAAGATTCAACACAAGCAGACTTCTCTTGAAGCAAGCATGCTGGTGTATATGGGGAATATGCCAGTCTCAGCAGCACTAGCAAGACAGAACAAAACAGACTCACATGTGTCAGTGTTGCTGATCCTAAAGACTTTTTCTAACGTATTTGTTGCAGGTGAGAACAGTGTCTTCACAGCTGGCCATCTTTGAGGCAGAAGTTAGCAGGCTGACAGAGACCCAAGCATTTGCCCAGGAGGAGTGGAGAAGCAAAACAGGCCACTTACAGTCCGAACTTGACCAAGCTACTGCTCAAAAGGTAGATACACATTCACAACAGAAGCTGCATTCGAAACTGCTTTTGATTTGTTAAATTTTATCAAATGATGTAGATTGTACTCACTAAAATTAAACTTTTTTTAAAGAATAAAAGCAATCCTATTAGTTATGTGTTGATTGAATTCAATCATTTTACTTGTTCATTACTTGCTGATTATATTTCTAGGCAAAGGTGTTTTAATGTATTATGCTCCTTTTTGTTCCTCAGGAGCTACTGACTGAACAAATTCAGATCCTCCAGGGAAAGATTTCCTGTTTGGAGGATGAAATAAGCAGGGCCACTAAGGAGGAAGTAGGGGAGAATATGGGGCCTGTAATGGAGGTAAAGTCCATGATTCTGTGTAAAACTTCACAAATGTTTGTAAATCAAAAATAAAGTCTGCATGTTCTCAATCTTTTAAAATCTACTATGGATTAAATTGTTACTAATTGTCTTCTCTTCTTAAATTTCCAGCGAGAAATGTTGACCAGTTTGAAGATTGAGCTGGAGAACACATTTTGCTCCCTGAAACAGGCTGAGGTGGAGGTGCAGGCCAAAACACAGCAGCTGGCAGAGTATCAACAAGAAATTAATCAACAGAAAGAGCTCCTGAAACAGCAGGAGTCCCAAACTGAAGAAATGATTCAAGCCAAGGATGAAATTCTAGACAAACTGCAAAAGGAGATTGTTGAGCAGAGAGTAGCCCTTCAACAAGAGATCCAGGATCTTAAGATTCAGCTTGAGCAAGCTGAGCAGCAGAAAGCTGAGCAGATGAGCAGACTACAGCAGCACATTACTGCTTGTGAACAAGAAGTTGAAAAACTTAAGGAAATTAAGAAAGAAAAGGAAGACCTTCTCTCCCAGACTGAAGAAAATTTGAAAGATCTCAAGACAAAATTATCTGCTGCTAGTTCTCTCTTAGCTGATAAAGACAGACAAATTGACAGCCTTAAAGGAGAAGCTGACATTCTTAAAGATGAAACCAAAAACAGGAAAAATGAAATTCAAGCCAAAGAGGAAATGCTTGCCAAATTACTTCTGGAGAAGTCTCATGAGCAAGACATTTTTCAGAATAAAATCCAGACCTTAACAGACCAAGTAGAAGACCTTAGCTCATCTCTCAAACAGGCTCAGCAGGAAATTCAATTTAAGCAAGACCAACTGACCAAAACCCAACAAGAGAATGTCCAACAAAGGGAAGTACTCCAACAACAGATTGTAACCTGTGAAGAGGAGATTCAGAGGTTAAAAGAAGAGATACAAGAAAGAAACGAGCAGCTTGTTCTTCTAAAGAATGACAGCTCTCGACAGTCTGAATTGTTGGAGCAAGAGATAACAGGTCTAAAATGCCAACTAGAAAGTTTAAATGACTCTCTTAGAAAGGCTGAGGGACAAGTTCAGGCTCAGAAGGTCATGCTTACAAAGCAGGAGCAGCAAAATGCTCATCAGACTGAGGTCCTGCAGCAACAACTTTCTGCTTCTGAAGAGAGGGTGAGGAGCATGAAGGAGGAGATCCAGGCTAAAGAGGAACAGATGGACATGTTGAAAAATCAAAGTTCAGAGCAGTCAGAACTTCTACATCAAGAGCTCCAAGATTTAAAGAAACAGGTTGAGTGTCTCAGTTTCTCACTGAAGAATGCCGAGGAGAAGTTGCAGTCTAAGGAAAACCTGTTTGCTGAACAGCAGCTACAGAGCACTCAGCATATGGAGGCTCTTCAGGTACAGATGGTGGCATCTCAAGAGGAGGTGAAGAGGCTCAATGAAGAGATTCACGCTAAGGAGGAGCAATTAGTTCTGCTAAAGACTGACACCTCTACACACTCTGAATTACTACAGCAAGAGATTGAAAGTCTGAATAAACAAATAAGTACTATGAGCAATTCCCTTGAGATCGCCAAGGACCAAGCCCAAGCCAAAGAAGATGCGATGGCCAAGCAGAAGCAGGAGAGTGCTTTGCAGATTGAGGCGCTTGGAAAACACAGTGCAGATCTTGAGAAGGAGGTTAATCGGCTGAAGGAGGAGATTCAAACTAAAGAATGTGAGGCAGACCTGTTGAAGGTTGAGAGCTGCAAAGAGTCAGAAGTGCTGCAGAAGGAGATCCAAACTCTTAAAGACCAAGTAGAAAGTTTGAACGAATCCCTGAAGACTACAACAGAACAAGTTCAGGTTAAAGAAAACCTGCTGACTCAAAAGGAAATGGAGATTTCTCAGGAAAAAGAGAAATTTCAAAACATGATTACAGCCTCTGAAGAGGGGATTCAAGGGCTTAAAGAGCAGATCCAGGCTAAAGAGGAACAGATGGACTTGTTGAAAAATCAAAGTTCAGAGCAGTCAGAACTTCTACATCAAGAGCTCCAAGATTTAAAGAAACAGGTTGAGTGTCTCAGTTCCTCACTGAAGAATGCTGAGGAGAAGTTGCAGTCCAAGGAAAACCTGTTTGCTGAACAGCAGCTACAGAGCACTCAGCATATGGAGGCTCTTCAGGTACAGATGGTGGCATCTCAAGAGGAGGTGAAGAGGCTCAATGCAGATATTCATGCTAAGGAGGAGCAATTAGTTCTGCTAAAGCATGACACCTCTACACACTCTGAATTACTACAGAAAGAGATTGAAAGTCTGAATAAACAAATAAATACTATGAGCAATTCCCTTGAGATCGCGAAGGACCAAGCCCAAGCCAAAGAAGATTTGTTGGCTAAGCAGAAGCAGGAGAGTGCTTTGCAGATTGAGGCGCTTGGAAAACACAGTGCAGATCTTGAGAAGGAGGTTAATCGGCTGAGGGAGGAGATCCAAACTAAAGAATGTGAGGCAGACCTGTTAAAGGTTGAGAGCAGCAAAGAGTCAGAAGTGCTGCAGAAGGAGATCCAGACTCTTAAAGACCAAGTAGAAAGTTTGAACGAATCCCTGAAGACTACAACAGAACAGGTTCAGGCTAAAGAAAACCTGCTAACTCAAAAGGAAATGGAGATTTCTCAGGAAACAGAGAAATTTCAAAACATGACGGCAGCCTCTGAAGAGGAGATTCGAGGCCTTAAGGAGCAGATCCAGGCTAAAGAGGAACAGATGGACATGTTGAAAAATCAAAGTTCAGAGCAGTCAGAACTCCTACATCAAGAGCTACAGGATTTAAAGAAACAGGTTGAGTGTCTCAGTTCCTCACTGAAGAATGCCGAGGAGAAGTTGCAGTCCAAGGAAAACCTGTTTGCTGAACAGCAGCTACAGAGCACTCAGCATATGGAGGCTCTCCAGGTGCAGATGGTGGCATCTCAAGAGGAGGTGAAGAGGCTCAATGCAGAGATTCATGCTAAGGAGGAGCAATTAGTTCTGCTAAAGCATGACACCTCTACACACTCTGAATTACTACAGAAAGAGATTGAAAATTTGAATAAACAAATAAATACTATGAGCAATTCCCTTGAGATCGCCAAGGACCAAGCCCAAGCCAAAGAAGATGCAATGGCCAAGCAGAAGCAGGAGAGTGCTTTGCAGATTGAGGCGCTTGGAAAACACAGTGCAGATCTTGAGAAGGAGGTTAATCGGCTGAAGGAGGAGATTCAAACTAAAGAATGTGAGGCAGACCTGTTGAAGGTTGAGAGCTGCAAAGAGTCAGAAGTGCTGCAGAAGGAGATCCAGACTCTTAAAGACCAAGTAGAAAGTTTGAACGAATCCCTGAAGACTACAACAGAACAAGTTCAGGCTAAAGAAAACCTGCTGACTCAAAAGGAAACTGAGCTATCTCAAGAAAAAGAGAAAATTCAAAACATGATTACAGCCTCTGAGGAGGAGATTCGAGGGCTTAAGGAGCAGATCCAGGCTAAAGAGGAAGAGCTGATCACACAAAGAAAAGAGGGCTCCATACATTCTGACATACTACAGCAAGAGATCAAATGTCTCAAAAACCAACTTGCTAATATGGGTGACTCTCTCACAAAGGCTGAGGAGAAGGTTCAGACTCACCTGGTTATGCTCACCAATCAGGAGCAGGAAAGTGCCCATCAGCAGGAGCTTCTGCAGCAACAACTCTTAACTTCTGAGGAAGAGGTGAGGAAAATGAAAGAGGAGATCCGAGCTAAAGAGGAACAAATAATACTGCTGAAGACCGACAGCTCAGAGCAGTCTGATTTGCGACAGCACGAGATCCAAAGTTTAAAGACACAGGTGGAGACTCTTAGCTCCTCACTGAGGAAGGCTGAGGAGGATATGAAATCCAAGGAAGATCTGTTGGCTCAACAAGAGCAAGAAAATGCTCAACAGAGGGACGCTCTCAAAAACCTACAGGAGAAAGTTGAACAAGTAGAGATTCTGAATAAACAGATTTGTTTACGGGAAGAAGAGATTCAAAAGCTAAAAGAATCTCAGAGTGAGAATGAAAACCTCCTCCTCAAGGCTGAGGAGAAACTGCAGACACTTCAAGCAGAGCTGACTGCAGTCAACACACTCATAACTGATAAAGACCAAAGTTTGAACACTCTCAGAGAGGAGGTAGCTGCCCAAGCTAACTTGGTTCACAGAGCCAAAGAGGAAGCTGAGGCCAATGAGAAAATGCTGGCTAAGATAAAGGAGGAGAGCTCCAACCAGACAGATGCTCTTCACCATGAGATCCAGGATCTGAAAGGGGAACTGAAAACCACTTCTTTGAATCTTCAGGCTAAAGAGCAGATGTTACTTGAAAATCAGAAGGAGTCTGCTGAGCAGATAGACCTCCTCCAGCATCAGCTTGCCTCTGTAAATGCAGAGCTGAACCAACACAAAGAGACACAAGCTACAGACCTAAAACTGAAAGAGGCTGCACAGGACGCCACTTTTAGGGAGAAGGAGGCACTTGCTCAGGAAAAGGAAGCGCTCATGGCCAGGATACTCCAGGCGGAAAACAATCAGAAAGCTCTGGAGAAACAACTTGAAGGCATGGTGTTTGAAAAGGAGAGACTTGCTCAAGCCAAGCAGGCTGTAGAGAGAGAGAACACAGCTTCCCACAAACTGGAATCTTTGCTACGGCAGGAGGTGGAAATATTAAAAACGGAGAAAGAGAAACTCTTGAGAGTAAAAGCCGAAGAAATTGAGATGCTAAAGAGAGATCTGCAGGAACAGCTCTCTGCTAAATCTGAGGCTGCAGAACACTACAAGGCACAGGTTGGTGTGACCACAATCCCCACAGAAAAAACCCTCTAGTTTCACTACTTGTATCTCTCTCTATATTTGTTTACAATCAAAAATGATTGATTTAGATATTTTTCTTTATGCTTGTTACTTATTGATTGCACTACTTCATATGCATACTCGGTTGATTGACTTGTTTGGTGTCAGATGAGAAGTCTGAGATTCATGCTAAGATGTTTATTTTATTACTACAATGTCGCAGATGGAGAAGGCAATGAGTCATTACAATGTCAAGAAGCAGCTTCTCCAGGAGAGCCAAGAGGAGGTGGCTGAACTCAAGCGTTCCTTAGAGGTTAAAGAGCGTGAAGTGAAGGCTACTACCATGGAAAACAAACTGCTTCAGATGGAGTTGGACAAGGCCCAAACCAGTGAGAAGGCACTTTTGAACAGGGTGGGCAGTTTGGAGGCACAGGTTGGTACTGTATTTTGAGGTATGCGGAGAACTGAAACATGGTCTCTTAAATTACTGTTAAAAAATAGAAAATTTTTAGAGTTCGAGGACATTACAGCAAATGATTGCTGCTGATCACTGTATCTGTTTGCTTTTTTAGCTTGCCTATGCTGACCGTAGCCTGCGGGCACAGAATAAGATTCACGGTAATGAAGGAAGTGCTACAGAGTCTGCTTACCTGGAGGTTCCCAATGCTCACTCAAGTGTTCACACTAGAGCACAGGTGAAGAGAACTATGAGCTCTGACAGCCTGGACCAGAGCTCTCTGGAGGACTCTCTGAACAGCACAAGGTACTAAAAATCTCGGATACAAAGCATGACATCTTTTAGAGCTGCAGATATTTTATTGCATGCAGCTATTTCATAATGTCATTAAAATAACTAAAATATTGTTTCCAATTCTGCCATTCTAATTTTGGTTTGTGTTTTAGTGGATTATACTTAGGGCTGGGTATCGTTTAAAAATTTTCGATACCAGTACCCTTAAAACGATACCGATACCAACTGCGTACTTCATTCGATACTTATTTTTAAAACTTCATTCGATATTAATCATGTGAATAGAAAGCAATCAGTTGCGTAAATGTCTCCACTCCTCCTCATTCGAAAGATTTTTACACAAATACATTTTGAAAATAGCTCCGTCCATACCCCTGCACCCTTTCTCCCTCACACATACTCACAAACAAACAGCCCTCCACTCCACCCTTTCCCACTGGGTCCTCGGGATGGGGAGTGGACTCAGGGGAAATGAGGTAACACACACACACCCACACACAGAAAACACAGTGGCAGTGTAGCACCATTCAGGCCTCTGTTCTGCTCTGTCCATCAAAGTTGTCAATCTCGGGGCATTTCTCATTGCGGCCCCCTGCCCTCTCTCTCTCTCTACTGTTAGCCAAGTAACCCTGAAGTTTTCTCCGTGTTTGTTGAGGTGCTTTATCATGTTAGTGGTATTCCCGGTTTTTCCCCGAAATAATCTTACCTCATTTTATGCATTTGTACCAGGCGCCACAGGCGTTTAGTACAGCCATACTTTTGAGCGTTTTGCTGGCATCTCGGAACGCTGACCAGCAAACTCCGCTACAGATGCAGCGCGCATGGCTTCAACCCGCTTCATCGCCATACAAACTGTTGTTGTTGCGGTGGTGGACCAATCACACGGCGCATTGAAACGAAGAAGGCTTGCGGTGATTGGCTGCGAGCAAAACCATAGAAACAGTCATTTTTTCTAGATCTGGGTACAAAAAGAACTGATTGCAGGGTATTGTTTGACAGGCGCAGTTTCGGTACTACTTGGTACTGGGTTGTTTCGGTCGATACCTGAAAAGTATCGAGTACCAATACCCAGCCCTAATTATACTCTTATTATTTGTTCTTCTTTGGAGTATGTCAGCTGTCAAAAACTGTTGCACACTTTTGTGAGTGAGGGAACTGTTACTCAAACCTCAACATGCACAAAATAATGGCATTCAGGTGTATTACGGCAACAATTAAAACTTTTTATATATTTTACCTTTTGGGTTTGGGATTTTGGACCATAAAAAAATGGACTTGACTTTATGTTTTCCCTATCGAGGAGTTCCCATTGTCCCAATGACAATGAAGGTTGGCCTTTTTCTGTGCTCCATGAAAAGCCAGAAAAATCTTTCATCAGAGGCATAGTGGTAATCTGCTGTGATTGTAACGCAACATAATGCTCTGTTTCTTACCTTTGCAGGAAACTTTCGGCGCCTGATGAATCAAGCACACCACTTGTTCGCAGTTCAGAGCGCTTGGCAGCCAAACGCCGGGGTCTCAAGGCCGAGTCCTTGGAAACCCTGTACTTTACACCAATAAACAACAGACAGGTCAACAGGTATGTCAAACGGTTTCGCAGATTAGCCACCTTTAGGAGGTTTTTCAGATTACAGTCAGTGAGTGAGAGAGGTGGGTGTTCTAGAGTCCCCCTAAATTTCCTTTCAGTATATTAACTGTAGATGTGGGTGTCTTTGAATTGCTAACCTTTATTCAGCCTTCTGTGCACTACATTATATAGAAAAGCTTTAGGAGAAAGGCTTTTCTGGTTGTATTCCTGTAAGATTTTATAATTTTTAGGAAGACCAGATATCAAAATCAGCAAAGTTAGTCTTTATACAGTATGTGGAAATGCACCGTCATCTAGGGTCAATACCAGCATAATTGCAAAGCAGTGTTTTTTGAGACCATTTGAGATTTTTGGCCTTAACCTATAATCAGTCACCACTAACGAGCTTCATTTATCCTGGCTAGCATTTTTTGTGCTTTTGTTTAATTGGAGTGGATCTGACGACAGTTATGGAACTCATCTGACCACAGACAGAGATAAATAAGAGACATAAAGATATGATTTACACCTGTTAAAATAAAGCTTAGCCCATCAAAATAAAAATGTGAGTAATGCAAGAGGCGATAGTTGCCCTGACTCCAACTAAAACTATCTGGGCAATTCTCCTTTCCCTGTACATACATTTTTCTGATTTTAGTGAAACCTGAACCACTGTTTTTTCACCATACTCTGTTACTGAGAATCTTGTTTTTCTACTTCACCCCCCTCAGGACCAGCACAGAGCTCAAAATGGAACCGGATTCAGCCCTGAAAAATCCGACTTCATCTGTCAAGCGACGCAGAACCACGCAGGTTATTAACATCACCATGACCAAGGTGGAGGAAACTCACTTACACATTCATTGCATGTTTTGCATGTTCACAATAACACACACAGTTGAATCACTGTACACTTTAATAGTCACAATGGTTTCCATCTCACTGCGTCTGTTCAGCTGGTCTTAATTATTTACTAATTAATTTTCATTAACATTTTTATCTGAGGTTTTAACCATCATACTATGACAAATTGTAACTGTAGAGCTCTGTGGCTCTACAGATTGTTTGGAGCATTGCTCTCAGCACAGTCCAGCAGTGTTAAAATGCATTCAAAGGGCTGACCCCAAAAGTTTTAACTTGCCCTTTCAAAGCATCTTCACATTCCCACTGCAGTATTACTGTAGCTGAAAGTGACTGTGAGACTCTGGTCTGTAGAAAACCCCAGGTAGCGGTGAACATGATGAGACTTTCTACAGCCTGGCCTCAGCTCGCTCCCAGCCGAACCTCTCCAGTGCCCACTCTGCACGACCCGTGTCTTTGGAGCTGTTTGATACACCTGGAAGAATGGCCGGTGCTGCCAGCAACCAACTCATCGGCCTTCCAGGGTACAGACGGAGCACAGTGCATTCACAGAGTAAGTAGATCCCCGGCTTACTCACAGAAGGTTTTACTGCAGGGTGAGAAATAGAGTGAGAGGTTGGGCTGCAAAACAAAACATGGAGATCCTGGACCTATGAGGTGAAACAAAGTTTTTTTTGTTTTTGTTTTTTTTAATTTTGCTCAGCTGCCTGTAGGTAGTGTGGAACAAGGGCTGCAATTAAAATAATTTTCATTAGCCCTTTTTACACAGTACTGCTACATAGTCCTTTCTTTGTACCTCCGGAGCCACCTACACAGAGCCAAATGACGACGGCTTCATTCTGCTCCAGGGTGTTATTATACACTGCAGTGCTGCTTTGCAGAATCAAAAGAGGCGTGACGTGTAACACATCAGCGTAGGCCTCTAGTGTGACATATAACATGCGTCTGCAGCGCTTTCTAAATAACAACAACATCACCATTAACATGTCAACAACAATCATTTACCATCCCTGTTATATGGCAGCTGATCTTATCCTCTGCTCAGGGGGTAAGGAGCTCCCAGACCTCATTGTTTTCCCAATTTGCGGACATTAACGATAGCTGTTCTTCTTCTTTGTGCTAGCTGCTAATTGCTAACAGCTGTTACCTATGTAAATCTCCTGTGGTGGGTCGCATGCAGAACGTTGTGATAATGTCACACCCATGCTGCCCATGATCCTGTCCCGCAGACTGTCCTTTTTCTACAGACACCATTTTGGTGCTGTTTCTGCCTTCCGAGGCGGATCAAAGGCAAGGCCACTCTCCCTCCGTTCTGTAATCTCACCTTATATACAGCATGGCGAGGCAGCATAACGGCATGATAATTCTGCCTTGAACAGGCAGTGTAAAAGGGGCTGTTATTAATTAATTTGCCAACTATTTTGTCTGTTAATCTTTTAATTAGGGGTGGGAATCACCAGATGAGCCATGATACTTGAGTCACAATACAATATTATTGCCATTTAAAATATGTTGTGATATGCTGAGTGTTGAGATAAAATATATTGCGATTTATTACCTTTTTTCAGCTGTGAATTATGTCCCGAAAGAAAAACGTTGTCAACATCTGTTTTATCGAATAAGTTTTCAGTCAGTTCATCTTACTTTTTTGCAGCATTAAAATGAATCTAGTGGACTGAAAAAGCATCTGACTTTATTATTCTAATAGGCTACATTTAATAAGTTTTAGAAGGCTAAGTTTAATTTGTATTTGTAATATTAATAATTTATATAATTTAAATGTTGTGATACTATGCTATGCTATATCGACCCCCCACCCCCCACCCCCACTATTAATCCTATGATCTTAAAAACATTAGAAAACAGTAAAAAGGGTCATCATGTGGTTCCAGCAAACAGTCCAAGTCCCCAGAGTATTTATTTTATTATAAAAGACCAAAAAAAGGTGCAAACTTTCAAAATTATCTTATTTTATCTGTTGATTTGGGTTTTGTATTGTCTGTTATTTACACGGACAAGGGTTTTTAAAAATTACTGTTTGCTGTTGCTGCATTGGCTTGTGACACGTGTTTGAGTGATTACAGTAAACTTGAGTCACTCAAGGTTCCTCTTGTGCTGGGAGAGTACCTACTTTAAAATAGCAGCCAGAAAAGTCTCTCAAAATGATGTTCAAAGAATCATTCTTCTCTCTTATAGTACAAGCACACTATAAAGGGGGGGTTCTGCTGGTCGGAAAATACCTGCCTTAACACTTTCTTTTTAAATTGAGTAATTTGGAGACAAGATGCAGTTAATTAGTTTCTGATTAATGGTAAATGATCTCAGATGGATATTACAGTTGTAGTAGTAAACAACTGAGATTTTTTTTAAAGATGTGTATGTAACTCTTATTTATTTCTTCATTTGTTGTCTTCAGCTGCTAGTACGTTCTGCGCAGGGGCAGAGAACGAGCCCGATGGTGCACCTGACGATTGGATGAGGATTGCGGAGCTCCAGTTCAGGAACAAGGCCTGCCTTCCTCATCTTAAGAGCAGCTACCCTGTGGAGTCTGAGGTTGGCAGATAGGGACACATGCACACACGGTTAACACAACAGGCATACAGTTGCACGTACATATTAATTAACACACACTGATGTTCTTGATGGCATTCATTTCCCACTAGTTTTATTAAGTCCCTCTCTGTCTGGTCCTTTTAGACTGGCCGTGGCGGTGTATTAGTTTTCACAGACGAAGAACTGCGCACCGGTGACCCTTCTGACACAATCCGTCGGGCATCCATGATGCCTGGCCAGCTGCAAGAATCTCTTGCCTCCCATCGACGGTCCTTCATGGTGGGACAGACAGGTGCCGCTGCTGGTACACGTTCTCATCGTCTGTCCTTAATGCCAGGCCAGCTGCCATCAAGAACTGTCGGCTCCTCTCAGGTCAGAAGCCCGAAAGGCACAAAGCGGACTTCATCTACTGCGTCTGTACATCAGACTTCACCTGAGGTTGGTTTGCATCAGTGTGCACAGAAATATTTGTCACATCTTGATGTTCTTGTTTAAGCCTGACTGAATCGCAATAGATAAATGTCTTACAGGCTTACAGAATGCCCACGGCTGGTGCAACACATGAACCATCTTCTACGACTGTGCATCAGGGGAACACTAACATGCACACACATTCCTATGCGTGCATCACATACTTCCTCCATGCACATTCCACGAGCGCACAAGGCAGCTTGGGCCTTAAAGCTCCCACTTAGTATTTATTATTATTACAGTTATTAGTTCCTGCAGCTTCAATGTTTTCTTGGACTAGTGTCTGATATCAGCAGATTTTTTTGAGTATCGTCCTCCAATCATAGTGGTCCGGCTTTGCTTTTGGGTGCTTCTTATGGTTGTGATCTGAAAGGTTACTTTTTTTTATAAGTATTTAAACTTAATAAAAATAGGTCTAAAAACCAATTTCCTGAACCCCCTCTTGTGTTTTTTCTAACTTGTCTTCTCTTGTCTCTATCTGACAGAAAAAGCCGAGGGCCAGCTGTTTCCCACGTCCACTCACCCCCAAAAATAAAAACGTTCTCAGCGAACCTTATTTTCAGCCTGCCCACAGTCCAGTGAGTGTAATGCACACACACACACACACACACACACACACACACACACACACACAGAATTATCTGGTCGGTTGAAAATAAAGATGAGAGAATTAATTTATTGATATTGTCATGGACGCAACTGTGCATATAATATTTTGGATTCTTCTCTAACAGTTTCACTTGTATTATTCTTTCAGGCTGATCGGAGGCAGTCTATGATGTTTACTATTGACAACACGCCTAAAAACAGCAACTACCTTAAGAAAGGCCTGAACAAACTGCGTGGCTCCACCCGGAAATCCCCAGGCAAAAGTTTAAAGAAGTCGCCTGCTAACGCATCTGCACGCAAGGGCCAGGAAAACATTCGCTCAGGGAATACTCGTACTGGAACAGTACGAGCAGACAGAGCTGGCAGCTTGAAGTCTCCTGGACTGACGGCCAGTGCTCGCAAGGTAAATACACACAAACAGATCCATTCAGGGTTTCACATGGCACCCTTAAATAATGATTTTAAGTTATCCTGTGGCGTTTTCTCTGACTGCACCGTATGTGCCCATGCCAGCATGATGCCTGTTGTGTCGTAGCAAGTGCAGGCAGCATATGAGGCAATCAGGTATGACATAGAATCTCCATCAGCTGATTAAAAAAAACTAGGGATGTTCCTAACGACTAAAGGGGGATTTATACTTGTGCGGCAGACCCTGTGCATGTGGCCTACGCTGTAGTGAGCATTTATACTTGTGCAGTGGCGTGTCTGTGTCACTCTGCAGTTACACCTCCAAAACACTAGTTGGTGGCGGAGCTTTCTGTGAAGTGCTGTAAAGTTTGGTTGATTCAAAACACACCCAAAACACACATTAAACAAATACACAAATCAGCTTCATTATAACTTGCAGAATTCACAGACAAAGCACTTGTCTTTTGCTGGACCCATTTTCCCCACAATTAGAACATGCTAATGTTTTTGGCACAAGCCTATGGCACTTTACATTGTATAAATTAGTCTAGCAGCTAGTGGCCTTCTCTCTACTCATATGAAGCCAGGGACAACAGCAACATTTAACAAACAAATATAAGATGCTAACGTTATTAGCACAAGCCTATGACATTTTACATTGTTTAAATTAGCCTAGTGACGAGCGGAGATTTCCTCTGCTCATATGAGGCCAGGATGAATCCTGAAGTATAAATCCCCGAAGGATAAATCACGCACAAGACTTAATGCTATTTTAGTGGAGGCTGTATTGTCTTGACAACTTATTGTTTTTTTATCTGTGAAATTAAAGTAAATAAAAGCTTTGTTTCCACTGAGGGAAATGGTTTCGGCTTACAAATATAGACAGGAGGTCTGCGTCGCTGTGGTGTGTAGTTACATTTCTGGGGAGGTGCACGTCACGTAGCGCCTACGCCATACGTACAGTGTCGATTCGACACAGAAGTATAAATCCCGCAAAATTTCCATGATGTTTAAAAAGAAGTTTAAACAAAGACTATCCCAAGAGTCTTAAAGTTTAAAAAAACAAAACAAAAAAAAAAGATTATTACAACGGCATTTTCATCGGGTAATGGCAATTTCATGAAATAACAATTTATATAATATGTTTAACCAACTAGTATTTCTGGTGTTGACTAGCCAGAGTAGCAACGTTTATTTGGCTAGTCGACTGATCCTGCACATCTTAAACTCAAACCACAGCAGGAAGTGGAGATACTTTAGTTAACTCTAATCTCAGCAGAAGCTTTTTTGAATGTTTCATACCTGTGCCATTCACATTGCTCTTTTACTGGCATATTATTATTTTACAGTAAGAGTAAGGACCTCTGCTGTCCACAGAAGTATGAGTCATTCAATCAGTAGTTGTCACATTAAGTCATATTATGTAGAACTCCAATGAAATGCAATCCTGTTAGCTCCTCCAACTTGTGCACTGTAATTTAGTCCTGTCTTTGCTTCCTCTTACATTGTAGGCTGCTGCTTTATAATTGACCGTCTTTCCAGATGGTTCTGGTAATCCATTATTTTGGTTGTGGACTGACTTCACTGTTGTTTTACAAATTAAATCCACCGCAGACTCAGTGAATTCATTGATGTCATCGTTGCCGGTGGTGTCCTGGAACGTGCTCCAGACTCTGATTGGCTCCATCTCTCATGTCAGTGGGGGGATGTGTTGTAGTTTGTTTACATATCTTGACCTCAACAAGATGGCTGCATGGTCGCTTCTCAAATGCGGGCAGGGGCTCTGCTCTGTAGCGGCGTACAGCACAAATCCAGACTGTTTATTCTCCTTGTGGTGTGGGGTGATCAGGAACAAGACAGCACCTCACATTCCCACAGTAACACCAGTCCTTATTCACCTTAAAGCACATGCCTCCTCCCCTTCTCTTGCCAGACTCCTCTGCTCTGTTAGATTTGCATATAGGAAAAGAGTCGCCTGGCTAGATGCGGTCCAGTACTCCAGGATTTAGCCAAGTTTCAGTGAAACAAGGGAGGTAACAGTTCTAGATATCCTGTTGGAAACTGATGCAGGCATGGAGGTCATCCAGTTTATCATCAAACACTTGAAAGATTATGTTTGGGTGTCTCTCATTATCGATCCAACTAATGAAGCAAATCTACATGACTGTGAAAGAGACGTTGCTTGAATGTGTTCAATCTTCACATCTCAGTAACTGTTTTCAGGACCGTGTGTTGATAAAGGAAGAAAATCTCACTGGAAGTCTTAAAAGGTCAATTAAAAGTAATTTTAATTTAGTTAATGGGGGTTTGCTTCTTTACACGGGTTGGTGGTTTTCACGTTCTGCCATAATAACTCACGGTGTGTTCATTTCATATCAAAGGGTTGTCCACATGTATCTGTCACACATAGCTAAACACTAACAGCATGTGACTTCAGCTTTTACCAGATATAATATTTATTAAATTATGTTTCTCTGGGAGCTTTTATTTAATCTGATTTATCTATTTATTTTGTTTTTTCCCACAGATGATGAGCAGGATGAAGGTGTGAGGAGGACTGCCTCTCCCAAATTGGAGTTACGATCGTCTACAGTTCGACTTAATTATACTGTTTTTTCTTTTTCTTCTTCTTTTTACAATTTCACTTTTAAGATTGTCCTTCAGGGTTGTTTTTTTTTTTTTTTTTAACAATCTCTTTGTAATATATTTACATGTTTATCAATAAAAATATTTTAAATGACACTGGGAAAGCTCGCTGTTTGAGACCTCTTGCTGCAGTTCATTGGCAGTCCAAGTAATCCTGACAGAGAGCTCATGCTCATGTTTAAGGACAGGATTTTTTTGACAGATCTGCAAGGGGTGTCCGTTTGGAGAGGGGTAGATCTTTGACTTGTAATTCAAACATAATTCAGTCCTAAGATTAAAATACAAAGTTGTGTTTATCTACATGTTATAAATTGACAAATGGAGGCAAAGAAGTCCAGTGTTTCCACTAACATGTCAGTCTGACGTCATCCATACTTCATACTATAACAGTTCATGTAATAATACACTATTACAGTTAATGTGAACCTGGGTCACAGAATAGTGCTGTCTCATTTAGCGTATGAATATAGGTCACTTAAGTTTCTGACTATTGAGCAAGTATTCCGGTATGTGCCTCAAACCTTCACAATAAAAGCAAAAATTTTGAGCTTTAAATTTCAGTGCATTATGTTTAACAGTGGAGGCTAAATCATGAACTGAACATGTATTATACATTAATATGTAGATCAAAAACTATATGTCAGCATAGTCCTGACCTAATTTGTTGTTCATTTTGTAGCTGTGTACAAAAATGTCTCTCAAAGTAGACCAGATAGTATAATGTAACTTTAAATGTTAACATGAGTGTGTGAGGACAAAGTCATTTGATATCTGATTTGTGCATTGAAATGAAAGGGTAATGTGTCACCACTCACTGCTGTACAATTTGGCAGACTATGAGGGCCTAAAGTTGTTTAAAATGTTATATCTTGCACAACTACAGATAAAATGACAACATGAGGATAAAGAACTGATCAACTGAGGTTTTTCCACCGTTGACAAAAAGGCTATGTTGTTTTTATCCCAGTAAAGTTGATTGTGAGTACAAGCAGTACTTCGCAATACACAGGTTAAGTATCGTTATGTGTCAGGATGATTGTTTTTGTATAGCTATATACTTATTTGTGCACTGACTGCTTTTGGATGTTTGCATTACAGTTTTTCTCAATTGCTAAGACATGCTGGGATCCACTTGATCTTCATCATCGTCTTCTTAGCGCTGCAGAAGTATTCTCTTGCAAATGTGTGAAGACTTTTTCATTTTTCACATTTTTACACCTTTTTTCAAAACGTTAACTCATAGATCTCATAGAAAGACCCAAACCTCTATTGGATCATTTATGTCAAACAAAATGAAGACATCTATTCACAGCTGATAGAAATTACTTACATAAATATGAATCTAATGCACCTGTGTGAGGCTTTTTTTTTTTTTTTTTACACAAGTCTTCAATCAGCAATCAGTCCATATTCACTGATAAAAGATGCCACCTATGTGTATTTGCAAGCGTGGATCAAAGAGGCCAAAGGCATATACAGATGAATAAAAAAAATGCACTTTATTAGGAAATGCAGCAGCGTTTGTTATCTGTAGTAAAATCATCTTTGGAGAAAATACAACTCCTTTTTTTGGCACCTACGAGAGCTTTGTAAAATATCATCTGATAACAAATTAAGGTTGAGCCGAATCTTACTGATATCTGTATTATCTGTGTAATGATTAATTTGAAGAATATATTCATTTGGCTACAAGTTGTGTTGTAAGATGGGAGTAATTGATTTATTGCATGTTTAACTGTTTAGAAAATGTAACTTCTGAGTGAACAAACGTGCTCAAGCAACCGAGAAAAACTAACCTTGTTTAGATTATGCTTTTATTCTGAAGTAATCCGGAAGTCGCGCTGTTGCTGTCGGGTGCCCAACGAGCACGCACCGACTAGAAACTGAAAGTTACAGTGAACACAACGACGCGGAAATGCACTAAAGTAGTTGGCCGTTGATACAATGTTAGAGTTTATCAACTATTTTGTCCGGTAATACAATCTTAGAATTTATAGATTCCTTTGTCCGTGTTGGTAATTTGCTGTGAAACGTTTATTTCTAAAGCGTCCGTGTGTTCATAAATACACCATGTTATGCTAAGTCTTGATGTTAGCAACGGTAGCCGTTACCTTAAAGTAGCGTTAGCATGGTTGCTTCATGTTTTGGATGTAAAGTTATTACGATAAATAGGATTCAGTCTACGTAAAATAAGTCACCAGCTGCGGTGTGAGAGTCTGCTACCAGCAGGGACATGGACCCGGACACCGAAGTTGAAAGGTGGGTGTTGACGCACAGCTTTTTGACAGCGGAGATAAGTTCCCCCCGCCATCTTTGTTACGCTGTCTCTTTAAGAAGACATACTGCACAAGTAAAGTTACTGTACTTCCTAAATGCTTAACTTTACTAAATGTTCCGTTTTTAAGTTGTTTGCTAATTTGCCTACCTTACTTTGTACGAAACTAACTATAGTAGTCAGCTACTTATGCAGGTATATTAAAGTCCTGATGGTGGCGCTACAGCAAGCGTCTAAAGTTCAAAACTTTGAAAATTCATAACAAATCAAGCATACGTGCTACAACTTCACAACTTTCATCAAACTGTAGCCCCAATACTGAAGAAACTTTAAACGTACATTTAAACCTATTAAAAACTATGAAGTTCAACACTCTGTTTTTTTTCAAAAACTGTAAAACTTCTTAAACCTATCTCCTCCCACAATTTTTGCTCAATTGACACCAAACTTGCTACAGAGCATCTTCAGACTGTCCTACAAAAACTACGTTTCTCAGATTTTTGATTTATCAAAAATTGAGCCTACAGTGCATCAAAATGTTTGACTGTAAGTGGTACTGTAAACATATACATGCAAATTCTTGCTAAATAAATCTTCAGTGTTCATGAAAAAAATTCTAGAATCATGGTAGATGATGTGTGGCAAATTTCAGAATTTTATCTCAAAAACTGAATTTTTGACAGCATTTTGAATTTTGCTCTAATGTGAACAATTGGAGTCAATGTAAAAATGGCAATTTTAAACATCAGTTTTTCACTTATGGAGCAAATCAATCATTGTTAAAACAAATTACCAACATCTCCATGCTGTCTAGATGCAATATGTGTATTTTCAGATTTTTGTTTCGATAACTGAATTTTTTTTACAGTGGTTTAAAATATGCTTTTCCATGCATGGACGGCTGCTAAACCTGCACGTCTGGCTTAGTCAATTTATGAAGCTACACATGAATTGTCACTGACTAATTAGCTCAGTGAGATAGAAATTGATTCTTAGTCTCAGAGGTTGTGAGTTCAAGCCTCAGCTGATGCAAAAGGCAGATTGTGTTGCTAAATTCCTAAATGTTTTCCAATTCTTCTGCTTGTTGCTCAGGATTGCCTAAAAATGCCCGGACCCGACCCATCGCTGCGCAGCAGCTATAATTCCCTATTGGATTATTTAAAACAGTGTCACACCCACTAACATCCTCTTTTCATACCCTCAGGATCTTTAGGCTGGAGGAAGATGATGATGATGAGGAGGAGGAGAAGAAGTGTAAGAGGCCACCCTCCAGCTATGGCTCAATGAAGAGTGACAGTGACGACATGGAAGAGGAGGAAGAGGAGGAGGGAAAAGGAGCAGAGGTTGCTGAGGCCTTCTCTGCCCCATTTCCTGTGGCCCTACCTGAATCGACTACTGAGGAGGCGACCGGGTACTGCAGTTTGATTTGATTTGATTTGATTTGATTTGATTTGATTTTGGGGCGGCAGTAGCTCAGTCAGGTTGGGAACCGGAGGGTCGCCTGTTCAAGTCCCCGTCCGGACCAAAATATGGAGCGTGGACTGGTAGCTGGAGAGGTGCCAGTTCACCTCCTGGGCACTGCCGAGGTGCCCCTGAGCAAGGCACAAAACCCACCAACCGCTCAGAGCACCTGTAATGGGCAGCCCACTCTGACATCTCTCCACTTAGTGCATGTATAGGTCCTGTTTGTGCATGTGCGTGTTCAGACCTGTGTGTAATTGACAACAGAGTGAAAAATTGAATTTCCTCTCGGGGATTAATAAAGTATATAAAAAAAATAAATATTTAAGCATTATCCCAGTGTTTCTGTGTTTTGGCTGTTTCACCACAGATTGTGTTAGGCTGTACATAACTGCCATCTATACATTTGCTGTACTCTGCAGCTGAGCTGGTGTTGACCTTGTTGAAAGCTCCTCAGTAAAGGCAAAGTTTGGATTAAGTTTTGTGAATCACAGGATGTATTACTCCTTCCCAGGCTCTGGGTGGCAGTGACAACCTTTTCACAAATTTCCTATGCACAAGTTGGATTTCCTTCCTTCAAGGCTGCCCTTGGTATCTGTTCATTTTAGTACAATATGCAAATCAGTTTGCTTGTACATGCCGGTATTCTATATGAATTCATTTTTGTAAAAACAGAGGTTTGGCTCTTTATGCTGCTAAAATTCAGTCCACTGTGCTGTGTTTTGAAGGGAGATGTTGCTTTCAGTGACTTAAAAATTGCTAACAGGAACTTGACCAGGACTTACCAGGTGACTTACCAGGTGGACATTGTCCCTAATTTTTTGCCAGGTTGCAGATGGTTCGCTCAGAGTCTCCAGAGACCCTCTACACCATGACCACACAGCAGACCAAACCACCGGGAGCTCTTGTTATTGACACCAGGTGGAGGAGACACACACACACACACAGAGGATTGTCTTTCATAAATCTGGACAATGTAAATCAATGCTACAGCTAAGTTTACTTATTGCCTTTTTTGCTGATGCACGCAACTGGCATAATGATATGCATAACATATCGTTGATATAGTTGTTAACAATCACTGGAATTCTATCTGTCGCTCCCAAATTCACCACTCGCCTCAAATTAAACATTTGTTTATATCTAATCATTTTTGATAATAATATCTTGACTAGCTTTGTTTTACTTATATGTGAAAATACTAAAAGACACCCCCATTTTGTAACACTAAGTTTGAGGTAGAGACTTGATAAAGACATCTAACACTTGTGTAGATAAATAGAGTATTTTTATTTTAACAGAATGATGTATGCGATTTTTGTTTGAGTGGAGTCAAAAAGAGACAACACA